ATTCTCCAATTAAAACATTGATTTTCAACTGAAGTCCATGGGTATTGGTTACCCACAAGTTGTATGGTGCTGGCCACTCTACTTCCATAGCATTGAGAATTCCAAATTTCTGGTGTGTGTTGACACATCCATATTTCTCTGTATGAATATATTCTATAATGATAGCAATGTTTTCCTTTGGGTGGCCAACAGTGTCCTTTAGAAGCTCAGATTAAAGAACATTAAATGTTTGAGAATCGTTTCTAGAAAGAAACCAATCCAAATTCAAAGGAATTACAGAAGCCTAACAGCAAATCTATATTGCTCTTGTGATGTAGGGCACAGTGCAGTCAAACACTACAAAAGACAGAACATACAGTCTGCAGGGTCTTACTCATCCTTGGATTGAAATCATCCACCATACAACACTGGAAATCAGCTTAGTTTTCAGTTCTGAGAAAACTACAAATGGTAAAAGATAGATTTTTGTCATGATTAACTCTGGCAAATATAGTAATCCCAGTGATGTCCTGGTCCCAATTCTATAGAAACTCAGGCCATCAATGAAATCGTCTCAATCTTAGGTGAGTTATTAAGAGAATTTATGAAGATAAATACATTAATATACAAACATGTGTATCTAAAAAAATCCAAGAAATTTTAATTATGTAAGGTGATGGGAATTAGAGAAGGTGATAGCATTGGATTACTAGTAATCCAGAGACCCAGAAAACTCCTGGGGACTCAATTCCAAATCTCACCATAACAGATGGTGAAATTAGAATTAAATATCTATTGGTAATAATGAAACCATTGCCAATTGTCAGAAAATTCCTCCTGGTTCCCTAATCTCCTTTCAGGGAAGGAAATCTGTTGTCTTTACCAGGTCTGGTCTGTCTGTGACTGCAAACCCACAGCAATATGGATTAATCTCATCTGCCCTCTGAAATGGCATTTAAAAAACCATTCAGTTGCATCAATCCCCAAAAGATCTCAAAAAAGGAATGAAACTGGATAAACTGGCACCAAAAATGACAATTACAAGGGAGTCAACCCTGGTTCAACGGAAAGTCAAGGAGGGCATACTGGGAGCAGCACCAGGCATGCCTAAAATTAGGTGTCAATCTATTGAAGCTACAGTACAGAATTCCATGTGTGCCATACAGCGACAACTAATGGATCAGGTCTAAGCTCTGCAGTCTTGCCACATCTAGTCATGAACAGTGGTGGACAATTAAACATACTCTTTCAGTGCTCTTAATTACAAAAGCTAATGAATTGCAGCATGCAGTAACGCTTACCACAAGTCCGAGCATTGAACATTGTGGTGTATTTATGGCTTTGGAGGTGGGTGGGTGGGTGGGAGTTAGCTCCACACTTTTTCTCCTGAGGCACTCACTCCTCAGGCCAGGTTTGTCAGATTTGGTGCACTGTCAGGGACAGGAGCACGTGACTGCAACCGATATGGATATCTAGAAAGTAGCAGCATGAGCAAACTGACCAAAGCACCCTTTTGCAAGGGGCAATTCCAGAGTGGGTTGTGAAGTAGAAAGGAGTGTAGTTGTAGTAAAGGACAGTATAATTAGGGGACAGGCTGTTCTCCACAACTCAGAGGGCAAGTAGCAAAGGCTGTGTTACCTGCCTGGTATCAGTGTTAAAGCCATCTCAATGCGGAGGGGGCAAGGATTCAGCCACTGTGATCTACACAGGTTGCAACAATGTAGTTAGAATTAGGAAAGTGGTTCTGCAAATATGTGCAGCTAATGAGCCACAAGCAAATCTGGTGTGGCAGAACTAGGTTTTGATTATGTGGCACTGTTACCAGTACTGGCGGAAAAGGGAGCTGTAGTTATTGTGACAGTCTATTCAACTGGAATTCAGAAAAATGAGAATTTAATTGAAAACAAAAAGATTCTACGAGGGTTTTACAGGATAAATACTGGGAGAAGACATCCTCTCTTGGGAAGAGTCCAGAACTAGAGAGGCACAGTTTAAAAATAAAAGGTCTCACATTTAAGATCGAGATGAGCAGGGGAGGTTATTTGACAATCTCTTCCACGGAGAGTAAACAGAGATTGGAATATTGAATATATTCAGGGCTGTTAGTTCCTTTTTTATTCAGAAGTCAATCGCAGGTCATGGGGAACAAATAGAAAAGTGGAGTTAAGACCACAGTGAAATCAGCCACAATTTTATTACAGTTGGAATGGTAATCCTTGACAGTTTATTACAGGGAAAAGCAGTCTCGATAGGATGACTGGCCTACTCCTCCTATTTCTTAATGGATTTATACATAGTGTAAGATCATAAGTTGAAGTTATGTTTTCTTTAGGACTACAAATACATCATTTAGTAAACTTCACGTCAGATCATTACTTAAACAACAGCAATTAAACAATGTTGGAGATGGAAGTATTCACCCGCTTGTTTTCAGAGTGGAGGTTTGAACACCCAGCATGTTATTACTGCTTTCCAACTGTAACAAAATGCACCATTTGGAGATGCAGTGTTTCTATGAAAAAAACATTTTAAATTGATGCACAGTTGAATCATTGACTCATACAAGTTCTGAAGACATTAAACCACGATTGCTTGATGTTTTTCTTTTGGGAAAGAGAGGTAACATATGCTGCTTTAAAATGGGCATACCTGATTTCTTCCACTCAAACATAAATGGGCCTGAAATCAGCATTATTACAAAATATCGTATACCATCAAGTCTCTAATTAATGTAATCATATATTAGGGAGATAGTGACCTAGTGATAATGTCAGTAGGATTCTGGATTACTAGTCTAGAAAAATATCCTGGGACATGGGCGCATATCCCACTGTGGCAAATGGTGAAATTTGAATTCAATATAAAAAAAATCTGGAATTAAAAACTAGTCTAATAGCGCCCATGAACCATTGTAAATACCCATCTTGTTCACAAGTCTCCATTAAGGAAGGAAATCTGCCATCCTTAGCCAGTCTGGACTACATGTGACTCCGGACCCACAGCAATGTGGTTGACTTTTAACTGCCCTCTGAAATGGCCTAGCCCTCAACTGAAGAGCAGTAAGTGATGATCAACTAATGAAAGCGCAGCTAGCAATGCCCATAGCTCATGAACAAATTCTTAAAAATTAATCTTTCACAACGACTAACCATGGCCAGCCTGAAAAGGTTCCATGTAATTTCCTCATTAAAAAAAACATTGTAACATTGAAATTTCCAAGATCAATAACTATCAAAAGCTAATTTCTTAACTTCAAACTGGATCATTAGAAAATAGAGACTGTTAAAAGTCTATCACCCTACATGCAAGTTCAACATTTTTCACAGAATCATGAACTATCTAATGCACACGTGGATGACGTTTGGCCAGACACAACTTGCTGCAAAACCAATTCACCCAGCTCCTTCATACCCCTGTAAATTTTACTCTCTTCCTGCTGGAGTAATTATTTTAGTTCAGGATGCTAAATGGAGCTTTTTCCTCATTTCATTTGATAGACAAGATAGTTAAAATCGAATATAATTCTTGAATAAATAAGTGGTAAATAACACAAAGATAAAATTGCAGTGTTTCACTGCAAATGACCTTAAAATGAATGTGTTTAAATTTTTTCATCAAAAAGTGGATATAATTAACATCTATCATAATTGATGATAGTATAAGGTAGCGGTGGAAGTTAGATAGACCTTAGGTTTCGGGTAAAAGTTCGGCACAACATCGTGGGCCGAAGGGCCTGTACAGTGATGTACTGTTCTACGTTCCCATTGTATTACATACATAATTATTCATGGATATCTAGACATGAATGACCAACTGTCAAGGATTAACATTCCAACTGAAACAGATAATAAATTCTGGAATCCCACATTAATGTCCGGTTAAATTGAAAAATAAAACATTAAATAAGTATGACAGTTAAATCCCTACTTGAAGGTATACAATTCTGACATTCTAGTTTATTGTATGCCCTGACTCTCAACTGTTTATCTTGCATTACACAAATATTTTTTGTGGAATGTATGGTATAGCTACCAGATACTACGGTCATCAACTATGCACCTTTCATTTTCACAATTTCTTCACAGCTAATAACTTCAAACATAGTGAGAGTAGCAAGGAACAAAAACTATGAAAAACAATAGCTGTTGGACTAAATGTCACATCAAGCCAGGAAAAGCCTACAGTGGCTGTAATCAGTCTCCTTCTTGGGACATTGCTGCTGTAAACTAGGAGGAAGTTCAGTGGGTTACAACATGAAGTTTATTTTTCTCTCAGCTGTTTATCAATGTAGTTACCTTCAGTGTTAACTGCAAATTATAGAACCAGATTTTGCTTTCATAATTACAGTAAGGCTGACAACACATTTTTGTAAAGAAATAGTACAGCAACTTCCGGCGAGAGACAGATAATGCAATTGAACACATTTAATAGTTGCTATCCAAGTTAGCTTTGCCAAAATGCCATCTTGCCTCAGTATTGAATGCTATGAAGAGTCACTTCAAGTTTCCATAGTCTTGCAAAAGCCCAAAAAAACAAAATATATCCAAACAAAACTAAAAATAAGACAGGCTACTGGAGGTACTTAGATGTAACTTTATAAGAATGCGAGGGCATTAAACTGAAATGTTCGTGAGGAAAATCTGCACCTCAGTCCCCATGGTACCCACTAGTCACAAAGAACTTCAAGTATGCCAGCAGACACCTCCAGTGAAAGACACTAGGCACAGACACAGCCATTTAAAATGATGTGCCAATCATTAATTACTGACAAACAAACTCTGACACAGGTAGTTAATATGAATGTGGAGTCTCTTTCCTATGGAGTTTAATACTTCAAATATATAAAAAAAAAGACACTTATGGAAGATAGGTGCAAAGTTTTCTGAGGAAGGGTCATGAAACTTGAAACAATAACTCCGACTTCTCTCCACACATTGTGCCAGACCTGTTGAGCTTTTCCAGCAATTTCTGTATTCGTTGCAAAGTTTGCATACTTGTTTAAATAATACAAGAGCATGCAGTTCCTGTAATTACCATTTACTGCATTATACTGAATAAAACAATTGTCATGGATACATTTAAAATTAATTTCATTACAAGTAAAAGTGCATAAATGTGTGTTCTACATGTCTTTTCTGGATGGTACGGAGAAACATTTGAAGTAACAACACAAAATAAGGAACAAATTAAATTTTTCTGACCCCTCCCCCTCCTTTTTAAATATTCCATCATTTATGTCTAGTTCTACTGCACTTTTCATTCCTTCATCATGATCAACATTAATCTTAAAACATGAAGCCTTATTTCTAAGTTATTCAATTTTTACACATCAGGAATGTGATTTACTATAGTTTCTTAAAGAATTAACTGTGGCCTAGACAACAAAACACATTTCAATGGATATTTCTGCCTGCATACAATACAAAATAAGGAATTCAATTAATGGTAAAAATATGCATCTAACAATTTAAGCCCAGTATGAAGTTCTACCTTCAGATTACTTTTTACTACTGGGCTTAAATGCACATCCAGACTTTATTAGTGTTATATTCTCAAAACAATTCATTTTACTGGCTGTAATCAAAGACAGAAAACCAAAACTGATGCCAAGACTAAGAGTGTTGAGTTTTGGTAGCAAACAAGCTTTCATAACTGGAATGCCAGCTATCAAAATCGACAGGTCTGCTAGCATTCTCGTCTTCCAATATAGACAATGTGGATCAAACTCGTACTTGGTTACACTGGGCGGTGTTGAGGTTTTAATGCACTAGTTCTGGCTGGTTTTCTACAAAGGGCAGGACGCCACTGACATAGTAGGCAATGCCAAGAGACAACAGTGCAATTACAATAATGAGTAGCAGAACTCTCCAGAAACCCAAATCATCCACAAACTCCTGCCAGGTGGATCGAAAACTGGAAAGGACACCATCCGTATTCTGAAGGTTTGGATTCAAGAGTGAGTGGCTCTCCATGGCACTTGGGAGAAAAAGCGAAACAAAAGTTGCATTTAGATCATCAAAACAACTTCAGAGTATGATCAACAATAAGTTATTTATAAACCTTCACTTGGATTACCAAACAGAAAATGTTACATTCAGGATTCAAGAAATGTTATTTAACTTCTTAAATCAACTGAAAAAGACAAGAGTTGTTTTTTTTTGTGTAGATAGGTTCAAATTAGTTTTCTCAGCAAGCCACACACCAACTTTACCTGAGGGGCTGATGGTCTGTTTCCCAGCCTCTGATGGTACCGTTCTGAGCCTCCTGCTCGCTAGAAGATGCAACAGAGTAGTTAGGGAACAACTTCCCCTCCTGTGGGGAAGCTTCAATCCTTAACTGAGTATAATCCTATCATGTGCAACTGAGATCAGGGACTCTATTATATGGTGACATCACATCTACATAGCAGATGCAGTGATGCCATATACTGGCAGACATAGGCAAGAAAATCTGACTAGACCTTGAAGGTTAAACAGAACTTTTAAACAAAGTGTTTTATGGTGTCCTTTGTGAGCAAAAGGAATTCATAGGACACAAGCAAGCAAATAAGATATTAAGCACCACAGTTTTTACTTTGTATACCTGCCATAAGAAAGTACCACCGTACCACAGCATTTTACAGCAAGATTCTGCACAGCAGCTACAATTATGCTTCAATCTTACATAATTTCTTAAATTATACTGAATAAAAATAATTTCAAAGGCTTACATGTCGATTTGAACATCAATGACAGTTTTAAAAACTGACTACACAAGGCAACAGTTTTAGTCAAATTCTATTAGAGTACAACTTTTTAATATCCTCTTCTTTTTCCCTTTATTAAATGCTTAATGGGGTTGACGCATGGATGATACTAAAATAGGTGGGAAAGCAAACAGAGATGAGGAAATAAGGAGTTTATAGATGGATATTGATAGGCTAGGGGAATGGGCCAGAATCTGTCAGGTGGAGTTTAATGTCCATTAATGTGAGGTTGTCCATTTTGGCCGAAAAATAAAAGGGCAAATTATTATTTAAATGGGAAGTAGATTCAACGTGCATCGGTGCAGAGGGATCCCGGTGCCTTTGTACATGAACTGCAGAAAGTAGGTATGCAGGTACAGCATATAATGAGAAAGGCAAATGGAATCCAGGCATTTATTGCAAAAGGACTGGAATATAAAAGTAAAGAAGTGATGTTACAATTATATAAAGCGTTGACGAGACCACATCTGGAATATTGTGTCCAGTTTTAGTCCCCTTACTTGAGGAAGGACATGGTGGCACTGGAAGCAGTTCAGATGTGGTTCACCGAGTTGATTCCAGGGATCGAAAGGGCTGCCGGATGAAGCGCAGTTGAACAGCTTGGGCTTAAACTTGCTGGAGTTCAGAAGAATGAGGGGGGATATGGTTGAGGTATATAAAATGCTAAAGGGGATTAATAAGGTGGACGTTGAACAGACATGTCCCTTTGAGGGACAGTCTCGAACAAGAGATCATCAATAGAGTAAGAGGGCTAGGTTGTAAACAAAGATGAGGAGAAACTATTTGTCTCAGATGGCTGTGAATCTGAGAAACTCACTGCCCCAGAGTGCAATAGATACACAATCAACAGATTCAAGAAAAGAAATAAATAGGTTTTGATGAAAAACGGGATAAAGGTCTATCAGGCAGGAAAGTGGACTTGATACCAGGATAAGATCAGCCATGGTCATGTTAAATGGCGGAGTGGGCTCAAAAGGAACAAATTGCCTACTCCCACTCCTAATTTCTTTGCCCTCTCATTGGGGTATGATTAGACCACTTCTTCATGCAACAATTCTTCCAGTTTTTAAATCAAGATAATGAGAACTGACTATGCTATTCAACTACAAACAGGCAACACAGACCGGCTGTTTTCACTTATTTCGCATCAGATTTCCATTTCGGGACACTGAGTGGTTATCCAGAACAGATACTTGAGCCAACCTCACCCTCTCTACATAGGAATAGCAACAGAACATTCAGCCTCTCACGCCTGCTCGAACACTATTCGCTGAGGTCATGGCTGACCAGGATCCAAACTCAATCCACAATCCCTTATTACTCTTATCAAGCAAAAGTCTATCGATCTTAGATTTTAAGTTAATCACCAAGCTAGAATTTATAGCATGACAGTTTTTACTCTTAACAAGAAGTGCTTCAGAATTTCCCACTTGAATGGACTAACTAAAACTTTATGTTAATGACCCTTTGTCCTGGACTTTCCCACCAGTAGAGAAAGCCACTCTCCCTATCTCATCAATCCCTAAAAAGCATAGTTAGAATCACTCCTTAACCTTCTATATACCTCTTACCCATTATGCCGTAGCCAACACAAAGGACGTACCACAATTCTACTCAAAGATAAGATACAGACAAGGACCAAAACTGGGATCTTCCTGCAATGCATGGCTCAGAATGACTTCTTGCTTTAGTTAGCTAAACCAAGAAATGGGACAGTTACCCTACAAGTTGTAATCAAAAATGCCTAAATTTTCTTATTCTTTTGGAGCTGGTTTAAATCAAATATCAAAATTATAATAGGCGAAACAGAAACCAAGCAGCAATTATGTTTTGCAAAATTACAAATTCTGCACATGCAACACACTATATTTCTGATCTTAGTAGGGCTATCAAATGAGTGAAAGAGATGCATAATTTCATGCGGAACCAGGGTACAGGATGGGGATTCAGGAGATGTAGCAAAGGTTATTCATATCTCTAAGGACCAAGCAGTCAGCAGTTTTGGTCAAGATCTGGCAGAAGACCAGGAAGAGCTTTAAATCATAACAAGAAGCTTTACCATGCCATATTGTTGATTTGCAAAGAATAGAGACAAGGTAGTCTTGAAACAATGCAATCGTCTCTATAATCAAAAGCTCAGAAATCACACGACACCAGGTTATAGTCCAACAGGTTTATTTGAAAACGCAAGCTTTCGGAGCCTCGCTCCTTCTTCAGGTGTTAGTGAGAGAGGTGGCATCGTACACAGAATTTAAAAGTAAAAAATCAAAGGGTCACACAACTGATGAGGTTGTATGAAACAAACCTAAGATGCTGTTAAATCTTTAACCAGTTAAAAGGTTTTAATTGATTAATATGTATATGTAAATCTCCAAATTTCTTTCAAGTCATGGTTCTGAGAGAACTAAAGGTTTTTATCAGTGTAAAGAACAGCCAACATTTCAGGTCAGACAATGCATGTTAGGCCTTGTTTAGGATCTGTTTCTGTTTTGGTCTGGAGTCAGACTGGTTTTATTTCTAAAGTAGGAATTTATAAAAAGCCAAATTGACTGACTGTCTATAAATTGTGTGTTTTTTTGAACAGAATAGAATGTATCTGCAAATACAAATTCACCCCATATATATGTATGTGTGTATGTGGGAGAGAGGCAGACAGAGTGTGTGCGGAGGCACAGTGTGTATGAGAGAGGATCTCTGTGCGTGTGCGTGTGCGGGGCGGGGGGGGCGGTGGTGCGGTGGAATTACCTGTAATATGACATGAACAGCATCTTGGGTTTGTTTAATACATCAATCAGTTGTGAGACCCTTTGGTCTTTTTCTTATAAATTCTATCTCTGATGCTACCTCTCTCACTAACACCTGAAGGAGGAGTGAGGCTCTGAAAGATTGTATTTTCAAATAAACCTGTTGGGCTATAACCTGGTGCTGTGTGATTTCTAACCTTGTCCACCCCAGTCCAACACCAGCACCTCCACATCATACTCAAAAGCTAATCTTGTACAGGCATATATTTTAATCATTATGTTAAAAGAATTTTAACTCGTAGCTTACAAAATTATTCTTCCAGCTCAGATTTTTTCTGATTCAATGTTTACCTCTCATTTTCTGCTGTTTGCATAATCTCTAATTTAGAGTGAGTTCCACGGTTGAATCCTTTCACCTCCTGCTCCTCTAAGGACTCCAGCAACTTGATGGCATCTTTGTTTACTCCTCGACGTTTTGCCAAAACGAGTGGGGTGGCACCATGATGGTTGCTTGAATTATAAAAAGAACATAAAATAATGATTTACAACATTTCACAGTCGTGTTGTTTCTAGTAACTGTTTTAAAAGAGTAAAACCTGGCCACAGCTACCAATGGCTTTCCATGCATAATTTCGGAATGAGGGCACAATAATCCATCCAGGCATTATCCTAAAAATCAAGCAGAAAATATAAACATACATTCAAGTTTAGTTCTTATACACTGTGCTACACTTTGTCACGAAAAGCATCAAAATGAACTGGCTCTTTTACAAGCCAATGTGAAACTACCTACAACATCCCTGAGGGGGAAAAAAAAACAGGCAATTTCCAAAACATCAACTGTCAGCTACAATTTGGACCTTGCTTGATATTTTTTGTTTCATGCCCTTCAATCAATCCAAAAACAAACAATAAAAAAAACAAAGGCAATTGCAGTAAAGGAGTTCTGCCATGCTGCAACCATCTATAAGAAAAATGAAACTATGACTTCAGCAACTGGATGGACTGTTGTTATTTTGTATCTTCAGCTATAGGCAGTTTTTGATCATACAACTGTCAAAACACGTTGCAGTTCAAGAGTTAGAATTGCAGCCTTCATGACGTGCGACTAGAAAAATTCACACATTTTCACACAGAGCTAAACTGTGAAAATAGTGTTAGTAGGACCCTGATGTAACAGTGCTGATAGAGGCTGCAAACATATCTCGATTTGTAATTATACCAGGCTATGGAAACCTCAACCACATTTTAGGAACAGACAATTGACAAGAACAGTCAATCTGCATCAACTGCCTCCATGTCAGTCAATACCTGTGGTAGAAATAGTTGATTTTTCAACTCATAACTTTTCTGAAAAATAGGCCGTGAATAAGGCTGATCAATTCATTCCCTCAAGCAGAAAAGGAATGAGTGGGAAAGATATATAAACAAATTCACAAATAAAGGAGCGGAAATATAGGCTGAACAACTGTTGGCCAATGCAACTGAATACCTCCACAAACCATGGCTAAGTAGCTAGCAATCTGTCCTGAGGCAGGCAGTTGCTAGTTTACATCAAACTTGAGACTAGGACCTGAAGGCACAGCCTCAGAGTGAAGGGACAACCCTTTAGAACAGTGATGAGGAGGAATTTCTTCAACCAGAGGCTGGTGAATCTGTACAACTCATGGCCTCAGAAGACTGTGGAGGCCAAAACATTGAAAATATATTTAAGACAGAGATAGACAGGTTCTTGATTAGAAAAGGGATCAAGGTTTTATGGGGAGAAGGCAGGAGAATGAGGGCGAGAAGCATATCAGGCATGATCAAATCACACAGCAGACTCAACAGGTTGAACGGCCTAATTCTGCTCCTTTATCTTATGGTCTTATGTTCTCAAGCGCAGAAACCTACCTTAATAATTAGTGCAGGGTTGAGTGAATGGTGTACTGCTGAAAGTTCCATCTTTCAGATGGAATACTAAACCAAGTTGCCAACTACTTGCTCAGATTGTTTAAAACTATCACATCACATTGCACCAAAGAACAGCAGGTGAGCTGTTATCTTGGCCAATATTTCCAAGAATATTGTTTTAAAAAAAAACAAACAGTCTCATTGCTCTTGAAACTAGAAGATTGGGAAAACTTTAAAGGTCAACAGAAAGCCACAAAAAGAGCTATAAAGAAAAGTAAGATAGAACATGAGAAAAAACTAGCACAGAATATAAAGACAGATAGCAAAAGTTTCTATAAATATATAAAACGAAAAAGAGTGGCTAAAGTGAACGTTGGCCCTTTAGAGGATGAGAAGGGGAATTTAGTTATGGGAAGTGATGAAATGGCCGAGGCATCGAACAGGTATTTTGTATCGGTCTTCACAGTGGAGGACACTAATAACATGCCAGTAACTGACAAAGAGACGAAGGTAGGTGAGGATCTGGAAACAATCATTATTACAGAAGAGGTAGTGTTGGGCAAGCTAATGGAGCTAAGGATTGATAAGTCTCCTGGCCCTGATGGAATGCATCCCAGGGTACTAAAAGAGATGGCGGGAGAAATAGCAGGTGCACTGGCGGTAACTTTCCAAAATTCGCTGGACTCTGGGGCAGTCCCAGCACATTGGAAAACAGCAAATGTGACGCCACTGTTTAAAAAGGGAAGTAGACAAAAGATGGGGAATTATAGACCGGTTAGCTTAACCTCTGTAGTGGGGAAGATGCTTGAATCTATTATCAAGGAAGAAATAGCAAGGCATCTTGATAGAAATTGTCCCATTGGGCAGACGCAGCATGGGTTCATGAAGGGCAGGTCATGCTTGACAAATCTTTTGGAATTCTATGAAGACATTACGAGCGAGGTGGACAATGGGGACCCAGTGGATGTGGTGACCTAGATTTCCAAAAGGCCTTCGACAAGGTGCCGCACAAGAGGCTACGGCATAAGATAAGGATGCATGCGTTAAGGGTAAAGTATTAGCATGGATAGAGGATTGGTTGACTAACAGGAAGCAAAGAGTGGGGATAAATGAGTGCTATTCTAGCTGGCAGTCAGTGACTAGTGATGTGCCTCAGGGATCGGTGTTGGGACCGCAATTATTTACAATTTATATAGATGATTTGGAGCTGGGGACCACGTGTAGGGTGTCAAAGTTTGCAGTTGACACTAAGATGAGTGGCAGAGCAAAGTGTGCAGAGGACGGTGAAACTTTGCAGAGGAACATAGATACATTGAGTGAGTGGGCAAAGGTCTGGCAGATGGAATACAATGTAAGTAAATGTGAAGTCATACATTTTGGTAGGAGTAATAGTAAAAAGGATTATTACTTGAATGGTAAAAAGTTGCAGCATGCTGCTATGCAGAGGGACCTGGGTGTCCTTGTGCATGAATCACA